TCTCTCTCTCTCTCTCTCTCTCTCTCTCTCTCTCTCTGTAGAGTGGGTGAGTGGGGAGTTTTTTTTTCTTCCAAATGTTACCTGTCAAAATTTGTGTCATTTATGATTACTTCAAAAATATGTATCATATATGATCTTACTGTAGTTCTGGAGCTCATTTGAGACCTAGCCCATGCCATGATGACGGCATTCACCTTGGACTTAAATTGATGCCGTTCTGAGCATTGGTTACAAAAGGCTCTATTGTGTCTTACCAGTTGAATGAGCAAAATAGTGACCACCATCTTTATTCTCCATTGTATGAACCCCTGTTATGTAAGAACGGCAGTAGAACCATGGGGCAAACAGTCTCTATCATGGTTATTAGTGCCCACTGCAAACCAAATAAGGCCATCACACAATACCAAACTTCTATGAGGAAACAACAAGGGAGTAGGAGGCGACTAACCGACCGTCTATCTATTTCCACGGTAGGTATACATTGGGATTGAAAAGGCCTCTCTTTTGAAAATTGCAAGCACCTTGGCCATGATCGCTAACACGAAAAGCGTTATGTCTTGTGGGTGTTGGATGTTGGGTGTTGAGTGTTGATCAGATCAAGGAGCCTGTGGGTGATATGTGATGTGTCTTCTCATCAGTCTATTGAGGAGATTTAGCATTTAGCTTACCTGAGGGGGTGAGCCTTCCAGGTGTTACAGTCCTTAATGCTTGAGCTGTAATAAAAGTGTTTGCAATTTGTTCTGCAGACTGGCGAATTCCTCAATATTTGTATCATGTGGACCAAGGGACCAGAAGGTTGCACCTACAGCGAGCTCACTAGCATTAGCCTCCAGTTTAGAGATCTTTGCATTTATTCCTAGGCTAGTTGAGTCTTAACGGTCAGGTACCAACTTTTAAGGACTAGAATTTGGTACAGCTCAGGTCAGCCACCACAATATGGCTATCTTTTTTTATTTTTGGTGGATCAGTGGTGAAGGAATCCCCTACCTGTGATAGAATGGAACTCAAGATATCATGTTGTGGCATCTGCCACCATGACCACTTGTCTGACAAAGGTAGATCGATAGGCATCAATATGCCATTGACCTTTTGTTGTCACCTTGTGCCTCCTATCACACATCCTGCGTCATCTCCGCCATACTTCCCTATGACCCCTTATATCATGGGTGGGAGGTCCCATTACATGCCACCATTTGGTGCGCAGGGAAAAATTCATGTGTTCCAACTTTTTCATCTCCGATCTCCCTTCCCTCTATGGTGTGCAAACTTCACTTCCGATGTACCACATGGAATGTTTTTTGTTGTTTTCTGATCCCCCCAAAGAAATCTCCTCATGAGCCCCTCTAGGCAATATATGGCTCCCTGAGTTTGGAACAAACATATAATCAAGGGCCGGTTGGCTAAAATTGATTAAATAAGAGTTGATCTTCCCCAACATGGATAGATATTTGGCCTTCCACAGGTCTAACTTTTAATTGTTTACCATCCCAAACCTCCTTTGATCAAGCGACAAACCTAGATACTTGTATTGCAAGTTGTCCACCTCACATCCTGAAAACCGAGGCAGACACTTTACTTTTTGATTCAGGCAAGCTGCACCCAACATTTTGGTCTTTTTGCATGTGACCTTTGGGCCCGATACGACCTCGAAACACCATAGGAGTAGCTAGAGGTTTTTCATTTCTTTTTTTTAGGCATCTTAAGATATCAGGAGAATTTATGTAAATCTCTCTTATATATTTTTTGAAATTTAGATGTGCTACGAAAATATGGTTCATGAATGTAAAGTATTAATTTCCCAATTTCGAAGTGTCATTTGCATATTGCATAGGTGAAACAATGGAGCCTCCTGTCACAAACTTGAAGCCTGTCAACAAACTTTTGGCATTCTCGAAGTCTAGCATTTTGCTAAGAGATTCTGCAGCGATTGCAAATAAAATGGGATATAGCAATTCCCCTGTCTAATATCTTTGAGGCTTCGAAGGAGCTTTTAGTGCTTCCGTTGAGGACTGAGAAATGATTCATGGAAAGGCAGCTCCTAATCCAATGTTTCCCTGTACAACAAAGCTCAATAATTCCATGATCTTTTAACAGTATGCCTAGTCGACCCTATCATAGGCCTTCTACATGTCTTTCAGGCATATTTTTCTAGGGACATTATCTTTCTTTCTAGAAACATTCCTTGCGAATGCAGATTGTGCTGGAATACTATATTGCAGAGCACCATCTTCAGTCTTGTTGCAAGGACATAGACCAATGTCTTGTGAAGGCTTCGTAAGAGACTAATGAGACAAAATGTCATTTAGAGACTTCATGGCATCTTTCTTACGAACTAAGACAATAAAGATGCGCTCATGGCATTATTGATTCATCCTCTGGAATAGAATTATGAAAACATTTGAAGGAGGTTCCTTTTGAATAAGCTAAAAAAGGCTCGAAGAAGGCTAGTGGATATTTATCCATGCTGCGGCTTTATCCCTTCCCAAAGGAAAAACTACCTCTCACCTCTTGTCTGCATCAAATGGTCTCTCCACCCACTGACTCTAGTCTAATATTTTTGCAGACAGGATCACCTCAATTCTTATCTTTGGCCCATTGTCTGCCTGCAAGGCATCTTGAAAGTGTTGGACTATAGCGCTTTCCTGCTACTTCTATGCTGGAGACCTTGTATTTTCAGCCTCAGAATGTTTTAGAGTCTCTGCTTGAGTTGTCATCCGCATGGAAGAATCTTGTGTTGTGATGTGGGCCACGTCACTGTGCATCGTTGGCACCAGCAAATCTCCTCCAATTCGCGACAATCTTGGAGTGAGGATCTCAACTCAACTCTTTTCATGTTCTCCCCTGGGTTAGGTTCTCTCTACTTGCTCAGTTCTATCAAGCTGCTTGATATGGGCAGATATCTCTAAAATTTTAGTCTGAATGCCTTCAAAGACCTCACTATTCCAGGTTTTCAACTCATCTTCAAGAATTTGCAGCTTTTTGCTTTGTCGAAACCCCGGACATTCCTTTACCTTAATACGGGATCAAGAGTTCTCCACTAGGGTCTCCATGGATTTCTCTTCTTACCACGTAATTTCAAATTGGAAAGGGGGTTTCCCTAGGGGAGCACTTCTATGTATTGAGGGGATTTCTCCTCATGTTTAAGCAGCAGGGGAGTATTACTAAATGTTAGGGGATCTCTTTTTGCTTAAACAAGGGGAGTAAGCTTTCATGGTGGCATTTATACTCTTCACACCTCCTCGTCAGGGGTCTCGTACTAGCCTCTAGGATTGGGACGAAAGGAGGGGAGTAAATCCAATGAGGAGAATACTGCACCTCTTGCCTACTGCGAGTAAGGGTTGCGGGCCTTATGAAAGAGGAGGGAGGAGTCGAAGGGCCAAGTGTGGGGTGAAAAAGAAATGGTGGAGAGAGGGTGCGGCTAGGAAAATAGTGTAAGATCATGTAAAGAATTTAGGGCAAAAGAAGGAGATTTTTTTTTTTTTGTGGGGGATGAGGGGTTTTGTATGTGTGTATGGTGTGTGTGCTGAAAGATCCTGGCTTTCATGCTTTGGTGGGTCATCTAAGATCCTTTTGATGATCTATGTTGAAGGAGTATCTATAATCCAATTGATTGCATGGTGTGCTGAAAGATCCTTGCTTTCATGCTATGGTGGGTCGTCCGAGGTCCTTTCGATGACCTATGTTGAAAGGGTACCTATAATCCGATCAATTGCCTAAGGCCTGCGGTAGCAATGGACCAGGGGAAGGTCAACAAAAAAGATAGTTCTTTTCTTTTATATTTATTATACTATTATATTAGTTAGTGATCCTGGCTCGATGAGTCTTTTCTTCGATGATGAACTGTGGGCACCAACCCTGCATTTGTCTCTGTGGATTGAGGAGGAAAGGGTTGACTCAACGGGAAGAGGATTGTACCATGAGAGAACAAGGAGGGAGGGGGCTATGAGATAAGGCTGCATTTTGGTGTACATGAGATTAGCTAAAGAGAGAGGGGGGGAAGGTTGGGCCAAGGGATGCCTTGAGGAAGGGAGGTGAGATGGAGAGTGTTTAGAGTTATGGGGGGAACGATGGAGAGGGAATGGGAGCCCCTTAAACCATGATTGACTTGGATAAATGGGGATAGAGATTGGCACCATCAAGGACCTATGGCATGTCACAATTATTGTGGTCAGGGCTTTTAGGTGGGGGCCACTCACAATTTTGGCAGTTGCCTTTTGTTTGTGCTTGGCCACAAACCACAAAGGTCATTGGACCTGACCCAACCCGGGACC